GAGTGGTCAACTAATTATAAAATTCATTTATGTTCATATCTTGTTCACGCAAAGGAAAAGAAATCGACAACAACGCGGAGATTACAATGGTTTATAAAGACAATCCGATTTTGAGGTCGGGAAGTCATGAAATCAACCAAACCGAATGTCTTGGTAATAGTTTTTTTTATTTATTTTTTAGATTCATATTGATCGAAATAATGTTCATTACGATGTCGTGTGTTTTTTAATGTTCATCTCATACTATTTATTTGATATTCTATCACCATGGTGCATTTTCAACTAACGTATAAAAATCGTTAACTACGTGTTTATATACGTCATACATATACATACRTTCATGTTCATRGTCATCATTCGTTCATGTTCATCATTCGTTCATTTTTGGTAATGTCAAYATACAWGTTTTTATACATGGCTCTTGTTCATTTGGTAATGTCAACATACGGTTCCTGTTCATGTTCATATATGTACATATACATATGGTTCATGTTCATGTTTACCATTCGTTCATGGTCTTCTTTTTGAAAAATTTACATTAAAATTTTTAATTTGTGTTTTTTCATGGTGTGTTCCAGATGTTTGCAATTGTTCATATTAATGGGTGGCTAATAGCATCTCTTAGCGTGTTTATATACGTCATACAATAACATCATTCCAAAAAAATTCATGACATTAGAGTATGTACATGTTAACATGTTAGCCTGCTATTTTACGATAATCATCATCAACGTCCAATTGTTCACATATGTGTGTTTGTGTGGTTAGTTCGTTCATTTGTTGGTGTGTTCCCATGTTCATATTTCGGTCATTGAACGAAAAGGTGCACACTGTTCAGTGATGCTACAATATATGATTTTATCAACAAGGTGTTCTTATTCTTGCAATATCAGAACATGAACCGGAGTACGCCGTCGAGGAGTGTTCTCAAGGAAATCAGTTTTTTATCCCCCAAGGTTGATGACGAGCTTAAACCAAAGATCAACTCACACTTCTTAACTATAAATGAAGCGGAGAAGATGTATCGGGCATACGCGGACAATGTTGGATTTGATGTTCGGCTGCACGCCAAAAAAACAAACAAGAATGGAGACATACAAACAAGATGGTTTGTATGTAATAGGGAGGGAACACCAAACAAAAAGTTTTTTGATTCCATGGATATGCAGTCTGGTGAAAGGAGATATCGTAACACGAACCTTAAACGGTGTGGATGTTTAGCATGCATAAAAATCCATTTGAAAAATGATAAATCCGGTTACGAGATATATGAGTTTGTCGAGGCACATAATCATGCGCTATTCAATACTAACGATCGACGTTTCTCAAGAAAAAAATAGACAAATGAGGTATACGGATTACAAAAATGTCCTGAATAGCTCGAGCTACAAAATTGGTGCGATTAGGGCTCACCGTATACAAACTGCATTAAATGGTGGGTTTGAGCACAATCGATGTTCTGAGATCGACTTTAAGAATTTCAAGAGAGATGCAGTTGCGTGTGTTGGGAAAAAGGATGCAAAAATGTTGATCAATAAACTATCCAATAGGCGAGATATTGTTCCCGGTTATTTTTTCGAGTACAAGTGCAATGATCAAGAGTTGGGTGCCATTTTCTGCGCAGATGAGGTCGCTAGAGTTAACTACAAAGAATTTGGGGATGTAATTTCGTTTGACGGGACATTTCGCACCAACAAGTAAGATTTTCAAGTTGAATCTGTTTTTTTTTTATGTATGGTACTCGTCACTTTTTTTTAATATTTTATTTTACCTAATAGGCATGCGATGATTTTTGTTCCCTTTTTGGCGGTTGACAATCACAAAGCTTCGGTTGTTGTCGGATCGGCGTTRATAAGTGGTGAGACAATTGAAAACTTTACATGGGTTCTAAGAGCTTTCCTAAAATGCCATGAGAAGCAACCAGTTTTTGTGATTACGGAKCAGTGTTCGGCGATGAAGCAAGCCGTCCCGTTGGTGTTTACGGAAGCTAAGCACCGACTATGTATGTGGCACATCATGAAGAAAGTGCCTTCTAAGGTAATTACTCTTTAATAAACAACTCTATTTCATAAGTAAACGTCACTTTTCATAGGTTCATATTGTGATTGATACGTCCGCAGATCAGTGTCGCCTTAAATCAAGATCCTCTGTTCAATAAGGTTATAAACAAGCTCGTGTGGAACATTAATATTGGCCCATCGGAATTCGAGACCAAGTGGCAAGAGATGATCGAGCAATACAATTTAGGTCGTGATCCGTGGTTCACAGAAATATATGAAATACGCGCATCATGGATTCCGGCGTTTTATAAGGACACACCGATGTTTGGTCTTATGAAAACGACATCAAGATCCGAGAGTTCGAATTCGTATATTAACATATACAAATCATAGTGGTTTGATTTGGTTCAGTTCCATAATAATTATGACATTGCTATAGAGAAACAAAGGTACAAGCAAGCTGTGCATGAAACAATAACAAGGACAACATATTCAAAGTTGTTTACTCCATTGAGCTTAGAAAGTCAAGCATCAAGGGTATATAGTCGAAATGTGTTCTTTGACATCCAAAAGGAAATAAAGAAGGCTGTATGGTTTTGTAGTATAGAGACTGGCGAATGTCGGGGTGATCTCAAAATGTTCATTATAAGACACACGAAAAAGAAATCGTCTGTCAACACCACGTATCTGGTACAATATTCCTTTTCATGGATATTAATGTCTTTTAAATTCGTTGGTTTATATATACTGTTGTTTATTCGGAAACTAACGTAACTATTTTAGGTCTCCCGAAACTACACAGCCAACACGGTCGAATGCGAGTGCAATCTATTCACGCATAACGGTTATCTGTGTCGTCATGCATTTAAGGTTCTAATAAACGATGAAGTTGAAAGTATTCCGAACCAATATGTTTTACGTCGATGGAAACAAAATTTGGTCCCTGTCCAGATACAATCCGCTAAGATTCGATACAGTGAGGTGGATGCGGAGAAGGATAAGTCAATAATTGATGTATACTCCAAAGTCGACGACATTATAAGCATCGCCCGGAATGATAAATCGATACTGACTAGATTGGAGCAGAATCTCGACAATTTCATGGTTGATATCGAGAAAGAAGTACCGTATGAAGACTCATCCCAACAAAAGTTGGACGCGAACAGAGATCACCTTGGTGTTTCCATACCCGATGATGTGGACATCCTACCACCATCTGGAATAAGGAACAAGGGTTGTGGTACTGGTAAGATGTTGGTAAGCGTGTCTGAAAAAATACAGTCTGTAAGCAAGAAAGCCCGTCGAAAATGTGCGACATGTGGCCAACGTACCGACCATGACTCACGCAATTGCCCCGAATTGATAGAGTAATCAGTTGTCGAAGTACCGGAAATATCATCCTTTTGGGGGTGTTTCGTTGTTGTCAATCTTACAGTTTGTAATGCTCCGATTTCGGTTTATGTTATCATATGATTGACATACATCGTCTACTTTTCATTTTATTACAATCTATAGATGTCTTAGTCACTAATTGTTATTTCAATACGGAGTAATAAAAAACGTCGTAAGTGCGGTGTTCATAATTACCGACAATATCTTATTTGGTAAGTGTTTTAGTGAACAATAGTGAACTTCATCCAATATTGTCATGTTTTTGTATTGTTGGATATGATTCATATGTTGACGTTTCTTGTATCCGGATGGTCTTCATAATAAAAATGTTGTCTTTTGGTTTTAATTCTTTTGATTTTGCTGCAAAAATAAACGCCGAAGTAGATAGTGGTTGACAGTAACTAGATTGCGGTTAACATTATCTAGGTTGTTATATCAGTCAATGGCATATATATATTTTGTATATTAGTTGTATGTTGTTCGTTTGTATTATTTATTCTGATTTGTGTGTTTGAAGTTATGATTTAGTGTTCAATTTATCGTTGATGGCTAACCATGTTTAGTAACATCTTCTTGTTGATTTACTTGGATTAGATCAAACAAGTTATTCCAGATGTCCAGAAAATGTACTAAACTTATGTGAGAATACCACTTACACTGTTTATACAAAAAAAGGCTAGTAATAACAACCAAACTACACAGCAAGAAAAACCATGCAACTAAGATGTGTGTGTGTGTGAGATTAGATGAAATGATATGCACCTTTTCGTTGTACACAATGTAAACAGGTTCCAATTAATGTTTATTCATGTTTATCATTTGTTTTTGTTCATGCCCAACAATCATTCAACTGATAATGTGTACACTACAAACAGATTAATAAATGTCATACTACAATTTTTAATGTGAAACAGTTTCAGGCAATGTGCATTGTCACGATAACACAATATAGATTTGTTGATATCAACCCGGTGCAAATTTAAACATCAAAAAACATTTGATTGATCAAATACGAAAAATGTATGAACAGACATGACATACGTTTATGTCTGAAAACGTTACGCTACCACAAATATCCAAAAAACAAGTGGTACAAAAAACCAGTTAACATAAATGTGTMACCACACAATAAGCAAACATCTATTTCCTCCCCCGACTCATCTGTCGTGCACCACGATTTTTCCTAGCATTGTACGATGTCTCCATCGCAATGAACCTTTCTACATCATATACGATAGAGGTCTTAAGGATGTTCTCATCGTTTAGTAACATCTTCGAACAGTATTTGGTTCTGAGATCCTTCAACTGTCTCTTCTGTTTTGTACTCTCCTTATACAACCCACAGTCCCATTTCACTACATCTCCTCCAAAGAATGTCTCCATGTGCCGCACTAACATAACACCAGCGTCAACTGTATTCTCGCGGAATTGTCACCTTGTCTTTATATGGTCCTGATCCATTTCAGCGTACACTTTCCACGCCCCATGTCCCTCTTTTAGTAGGTGGATAATCATCATATCTTGCTGCATACATGACAAAGTAAATACATGTCCATAATGATCATAACAAAAACAAAATTTAAAGTTGTTGTACCAAGCCTACAGTGTTGGAGCCATAGATATCATCGACCTTTCCATCACAAGTCTGGCTGTCTATTATGGCTATTGATGGGTGCTTGAGATCGAATAATACAACGTAATAGAACGATGGTTCTACTATCGGGAAGAATACCTACATTTTTGAAGAGCCGTGTCTGGTTGATACCATTTGAATTAATGCTTAAATATCATACATATAGTTTCGATCGAATGAAAAAACACTTACCAGATCAACGTTACGCATACTGATCAATTTTATGTCATTGTTCATGCAACATGTGATGTTCTTTCGGAATCTATCATACCTCTGGTTAGCATTCAAATCTTCATCCCTAATAATAGCATCCATCTGCAAAAAAAAAAAAACGAATACGGTTGATTATAGACTACAATTTATTTATATGGCGGTTACATCGACATTCATTAATATACTGTTACCGAAATGTCCGTTGGTACAAAATAGCGCCTAGGAGACTCATTGCTCCTCATCCTCTCCTCTCTGTTAAGCACCATTGACCACACATCGATAATTTCTGAGCCAACCACGCTTTGAGATATAAGGGATTGCATTGTTTGACGTGTTATAGCTTTCCCTTTTGTCGTCATGAAAACCGGCTCACTACATGTTTAATTCGTTAGGTAGTACCATCCCAAATGACAATAATACATATTTGACCAAAATATTACTTAAATAGTAGACAATRTAACTTACAAAATCCCGCCTACGCCTCGTAATATCCAATCTTGCAACTTCCTTTCGTCACTACTCACCTCGAACGTTACCGCACGTGTAAYGTACGGTGATCGTAGTTTAAAACTTAGTTTCGGATCTCTTTTTGGAATTTCAGATCTCACATTTTCTTGTCCACCTGTTGCTTTCGAACTATCAATACAAGCAATGACCGCTTCCTTTGATGGACTTATTCCCAAATCGAAAGCTGGCGCCTCGATTTTTGCATACGAATCAATGTCTCGGACGTTGATACACTACACGAATGATAGTATAAAATCAAGAATCTATATGGGCATCTCTGTTCGTATATCTAATTGTGTACGCGCATGCAAATGGTGTTTATAAAATGCTTGTTATTTGTTTGATATATCACTATGATTTTCTTATACGACATGGTGATGAATTTTGTGTGAGACCATTTGGTACATATGTGCACCTAATAAAGATTGGTTCATGTAAATGTGAGCTTCAAATCTTAAATGCATTTAAGTAGAGGGTTTGGTTCTTGTGGTAATAGCAACTAATTAAGAAAAGGTAATAGCAACTAATCAAAAAAAGGTAATAGCAACTAATCAAGAAAAAAACACAATCCCAAGTGTGGAAGGAAAAAGGTCAACATAATATGCTACTGCTACTGCTACTGCTGCAACTAAGGTAAAAGTAATACATTGTTTCTATGGCAGTGTTTTGTGCTAAATCTAAAAATGGTGGAGATACAGAGTCTGAGGTGAGGGTAGGAGGAGTGTGTGATGTGTGTGTGTGTGTTAATTATAAGTTGTGCTTGGCTGTTGGACTAATTAAGAACAAATGTTACCATCATATATACATATAAGAAATTAAATTGGAGTGTGATACTTTGATTCTGGAAATGAAAGCTTCAATGTGTTTGTAACTATGTTGATCTACTTATGTTTAAGCTTTATCAATAGATGGTATGTATTTAAGAAAAAATATATTTTATTCATGTTTGCAACTATGTTGATCTGCTACTGCTACTGCTGCAACTATGTTTTTTATTAAAAACAAACAGCCCACCAATTAAAAACCATGTTTGTTGTGTTTATCTGCTACTGCTACTGCTGCAATTTAGCTTTGTCAATAGATGCTTCTGTTTAACTATGTTGGACTTTTATCATATTTAAGAAAAAATGCTTTACAACCACCAGCCCAACAGAATAATCTGAAATTTGCCCATAAAGTTACAAGAAACAACACAAAAAAGGTTACACTACAAGTATCAAAATGCAGGTCTTTTTTGAGATAAAGTAGCTGCTGTTGTTGGGTTAAAGTTGCTATTGTTGAGATAAAGTAGCTGCTGTTGTTGGGTTTGAAATCACAAAATAAATGAAAGCATCTTTTATGCACAAATAACTAGTAGTAACAGGATTGGATACGCATAAATAACTAGTAGTAACAGGATTGGATACGCATAAATAACTAGTAGTAACAGGATTGAAGACGCAGAAATCCAACCCATAAATAAACGAAAGCTGTTTTTATAAATAACTAATATGATCCATAAAATAAACGAAAGCTGGACTGGTGCAGAAATTAAACCCATAAATAACTAGTAGTAACAGGATTGAAGACGCAGAAATCAAACTCATTCAAGAACAAGTATACAGATTACTTAAATCCTAATATGATCCATAAATCAAAGAAGACGCAAAAATCAAACCCATTTAACAGGATACCTGTTTATTCTTCAATAAAATCAAACCCATTTAACATAATACCTTAAATCAAGAAATCAAAGAAGACGCAGAAATCAAAGAAGACGCAGAAATCAAAGAATTGGTAGATAGATCGAGAGCTTGAGAGATCGAGAGTTGATATGGATCGACAGTTGAGAAATGAGAGATCGAGACAGAAGAGTCAATCCAGAGAAGTCGAGCGCAAAGAGATCTAGGTAGGCGACGATTTGAAATAAGAGGTAATAAGAGGCTTCCGATTCGCTAAAATTTCAGACCTAATAAGAGCTTTTAAGCTCTTGATTGGAAAAAAAAACAAGCACATTGAATCCTCTTATGTCTGACCGATTCAGACTTAAGAGGGCATTAAGAGGTTTTTTATTAAAAACAAACATCCCCTTATTTACAAATAAGTAAATTTTAAAAGAGGTGTAAATACCTTAAACCATTCCCATCTTTGATAAGTAGAGTTGAACAGGTTTAGGTTTCTTAAGCAATCGTTGATGTAACCTTATTACGGCATTGCAAACTCGAGCAACAACTCTACTAATTGTTTCTCCCAAGCAATGAAAACGACATATCATAACCCGATTCTTAACACTGTGAGCAATTAATGAATAAACATGGCAACTTGTTCTTCAATATTCATAAACCTAGTTGTTCTTAATCCTCTGTATGTTTCAACCATGACACACAACTTTTTGAAACATGTTCGAATCATCCTAATTTGGGATATAGGCATAGTGCCACTCTCATAAATATACCTATGCAATATTGAGGGTCGATCGACATTTGAAGAAGAGTATCCAATTTGTTGTTCATCCCTTTGTCTTTTAACCATAATCATCTAAAGCGACACAACAAAGAATACAACAACATGGACAACTATGTTAAACCATTCAAACGACTCTTATCTCCTTTGCCTATGTAAACGTCTTGTTAAACTAAGTCGGTCCATTTCCTATCCAATTACTCAAATTGTTAAACAATATATTTAAATTACAAATCTTGTACAACCTTTAATTACTCAAATTGTTAGATTCGGAATTTTGCCAAATAAATCAAAGCAAAAAACACAAATTCAATATATGGTTGGTAAAAATGAAGCATGAAAGTTGTAGAAAACATAGGTATGACCACAGAGGGTATTTAGTTCAAATAACGCTTTCTTGTCACCGTCTGCTATATATATCCTATGCATCTTTAGTTTACTTCATGTAGCATTGTTGGAGTTTATTCACATCCCTAACACTTCAGTATCATAGCTTCAATGATCCAACCAAACTCTAAGCAGATTTCTAGAACTCAACAACCAATTCCCTGGCATCCCAAGATAAGACTTTGATATGGAAGAAGTGAAATAGGCTCATCCATCTTACACTTTACATGACCCCGAATGAAGTTCTTGCATTTAATTTCGAGCTTCACAGTATTTGCTTGCTTCGATACTTCTATCCTACACTATTTTTGGGTTGTTCAATAGAGACATGTTTCGAAGCTATTTCCTTTCTTTCTTTATGCTTTATGTTCACATAATGGCTAAGACCCTTATTGGTGTAGGTGTGAATGTAGCTAAGGCAGGCAGACAGTAGAATCTTGCTGTCACTTGTTGCTGCAACTGAGCTAAGTTAACCACTAACATGCATTTGAAGTTTGAGTAAAAGTCCAGGCTTGGATTTAACATTAGCAACTTTGAGTCATTGACTTGAATAATGCAATCAAAGTTTGGACAAACTTTTTAACCATATAGACATATGGGTCCTTTGTGCAGCATAGTAAACCAAATACTATAGTTCCTGAGTTCAAAACAACAATGGCATAGGAATATGAGCTATGTATTACATATGGTAAAGATTTCCATATCTAATGGCTGCTTTTTCCATTTAAGGGAATTTCATGCAAAGTTTTCGATGCTAGTTGGTATTTTTATTTTGAACTAGTGGTGACATGTAAGCTGTAACATCAAATACAGTAGTTAGATTGGAACTCAAACCAAAAGCATCCTTTTGAGATTTCAAAATCCAAGATTCCTATGATTTGAAATCGGACAATCTAACATGGGATTGGAATGGATGTGAACTCTAAATCCCCAAATCCATTTCATTCCTGCAAATCAAGGACCTAAATTTGAAAAATAAATTGAAGGAAAGAGATTCACCTTGTTATAATGTGAAACAATAATTCCGAGACCACGTATTCCAACAATGAAGGCAAAATCAGGGCCATGGAGGCTTATCTTTTCGTGGTTTGTGAAAAGAAAACAGCAGTAGCTCCCACATCTTCAATGGAATAAATTCGTATGTTGTAAAGCCGATCAAAACACCTCAAAAGTAAGTGGATATGAACATCGGAAAAAGAACAGCGTCACGGAGACGGGGTAAGGGTGAAAAGGAAGACGAAGGAGAGACGGTAAAAAGAATATGAAGTATGTCGGCTGAGTAATTTAGGGTAAACCCCATATACATATACACACATATATATATATATATATATATTAATTTTAATTTTTTTCATATTACTACGGCAAACTTTTCGATTTTGAATGATTAAGGGGGTATTTTAATGAACGTTTACATGACAAGTGTTTAACGGGTCACTATTTTATCAGTGAACGTAACAAGGATTGAAAATCTTACTTGATAAAAGCAATGACAACACCAAAAAATTTATCCGGTAAGTAAGGTTGACGAGTCTTACCCGGTAAGCGTTCCCGAATAAGAATGTTACATACAATGCCTTTTTAATGGACTAGAATCTAACTGGTAAGTTGAATGAAAGTGTTAATTCCTATCGGTAAGTGTTTATTGGATAAACAGTCTTGTGATCTTACAGGACGTGAACTAACGACCTTTCAAGTCTTATTGCCGATTAAGCTAACTCCATAAGGTTCTATTGTTGTAGTCCGACAAAAGTTCCTCTTTCGCTCTCCCTCTCCTGCCCAATTCCAAAACCATCATTCTTGACATCTGATTCAAAACCCTACCATCTTGAAAACCCATCCAAATCGTAGTTCATTTATGACTTAAAACACGTCTATTTAGGAATTAGTTTTTGATTCAATCACGTTTTTGTATCTCTTGTTGCAGGAGTAATAGTTGCAAGTTTAATGTTTATCGTATTATAGTGTTAACTCCTATAGGTAAGCACTTTCCGGGTAAGCACTTACCTATAGGAGTCAACCCTAATTTATTTTGATGAGTAAGATTTTAGTACATCAAAACATATTGAATACAACAATTTACCGGGTAAGCGCTGACTTGGATAAGAGTCGTAATTTCACTTACCGGGTAAGACTTTTCATCCTTCCCATCACTCTTACCCGGTAAGATTCTTGGTCCTTGTCATGTTCATCCGATAAGAAAATTTATTCGGTAAGCACTTACCAAATAAGCGTTTAGTAAAAAACCCTTAAAATTCAAAAAAAAGCCTGGAAATACACTTTTTGTATTTCTTTACATTTTTATATAAAACCTTCAACCCATTATGTGTTTCAGTATAACCACCCAAAGGCTATAAGGGGCCGTTTATCAATACAAACGGGTAAAAATTTACCAGGTAGAAGTCATCACCTCCACTTATCTTACCAAGTAAGATTCTCAAAACAGTATAATACAAATCTCTTACCCTGTAAAAGCATTAACGGTGCAAAAATCACCACCCTTACTTATCGAGTAAGAATTTTGGTTAGCTAGCAAAATGGCACGGTAAATTGTTGGTAAAAACCACAATCTTTTACCAGATAAGCGCCTCTTACCTCGTAAGTGACAATAAGTGTTCTAACTACTTGATAAAAGTCGGTAACCGTTCAGTTACTCGATAAAAGTCAGTAACCGTTCAGTAAACAGCCCCCAAGTCTTTATCAATATATGCAACACCTAGTTATTCTCGAGATAGAAGCAAAGCTACTCAAATGAAAAGGAAGGAGGTAGAAGACCATTTTTCAGTTTTGTAAAAAAGGTCCACAAAAGTCTCTTCTATGAGGTAGCTCTTTTAAGGCACTTCCTTCAATTGAATGATGAATACAACAGTTACCATTGCCCCCCACAAAAGCTTATTTTTGCGGTCTTCACCCTGTTGCAAAATGAAGTTGTGAGCATCGAACTCGAATCATATATATACAGTAGAGACAATATCTATGATTATCGTGCTGATAGATATCTCATATTCAGACGGGTCCCGGAGGTTAAGAGGCTATTTGACAGTTGCTGAATGGTTTTGTGCAGAATCATTAAGTGATCAGAATGATTAAGAGGCTCTCATGATATAGTGCAAAATGAAATATAATTGTTTGGTAATTGTTTACAATGAAATTAGGGCTCTTAATGGTTAAGGGAGGCCCAAGATACAAAATCATTCAGAGGGTTTTAGAACCATTAAGAGGCAGACTTTTGTTTTGCCAAACAAGATTCACCTCTTAACGATTCAGAGATTGACTCTTAATGGAACTATTAAGAGGTAAAATTTATGCAGACCTTGGAGCATCCACAACAGTGGATTGGGTGAGGGTTTTTCAAGAAAATCACATTCAAAAACCTTGCTTGTAACTACACAAGCAGAAAGGTTCCTTTTTTCATTGAGCTTATGTAGCCAATAAGCTTTCAAATAAGCACCACTGTAAAAAGCGAAATAAAACAAATAAAAAGCACATCCGTAAGCCACATAATTGGGGGGAAAAGGGTTTTCGTTTTTGGAACACGAGATTATAAAAGAATTTAAGACTGCAGACGAGAAACTTACTGGTGTTTTCTTTCTATGACAATGGCACATACGAGCACATGTTCTGTACATATAATCATGATATACAATCCTCCTCTCCTTGAGTCTGTATATTGGAGTTGAAGAAAGTAGAACCGTAGCAAAAGTAGGCCACAATAACGTGAAATATACAAAATCCCCCTACATCTGACATTATGACACATCCATCTCATCTTGCAAAAGGATCTCATAGACATCAGTCCTCACATTGAGCTCTTTGTCACGCATAACTTCCAAGAGATCTGAGAGCTCTTTTGCAGTTAACACAGAGCTTAGTTTAGTGAAACCATCAAGCCATAGCCTTTTTGACCTGGAAATGTAATGTAAACAAAGGTTAGTTTAATGGTGCATTATAGCATATATATATATATATAATATATTATATGTATATATATATATATTATATGTAATATATAATCATTTGTACAAGACTATGTTCCGCAAACTAGTTGATAAGTGTTAACCGAAAAACTAGCTATTGGCTAATAAACTAGCTGATAAGCTAGTTACAATTGGTGAAAAACTAACTCATAAGCTACATGACAATGTAAAATGACCTAAAATGACAAAAAAGTTACTAAATTCTAACACAAGGGATTCTGCCAAAAATTGTCAATGGGCAGATTACAAATAACCAGTTTCTAAAAACCTTTATATGATTTCTAATCGGGAAGTCTATTGAGTGTCTAGGAAATGCAGGAATTCTTCAGCTGCTAACAAGTCATTATTATTGTTAACTCCATGGCAGATCGTTGACTCACTCCATTCATCTTAAAATTAATTTTCAAACTACTTACAGATTTTAGACGATATATGAATGTATTATTGGCAAAAACATCATCAACTTGATGTTTCAGGTCATTTAAGCACAGAACTTTATAGCATACATCCAAACCAAACAATCCTAGTATATCCGACCGTGAGGTGGGGTCTAGGGTGGGTGGGATGTATGCAGACCTAGACTTCTACCCATAAAAGTTATAGCATACATCCAATTGTGACAAATGGAAAGCTTGTTTGAATATTGAAACAAGACTAGTTAATTGGAAAAACAAGATGCTTCAGTCATAAATGATCAAGATCTCACCATGGGCATGTGTGGATAGCACGGAAGTAAATTCGTCTTGCTGCAGACAGGTCACTTGCTACATGAATCTCATATGATATGTACAAACGCCAGAGAAGTACAGAATTTCGCAACATGTTGTCAGCCAATGCCCTTTCAAAGATTCTATGTACTCTATGATGGGAACTTCCTCTAGTAATCTCATATGACAATGCAAAGAGACAAAGTGTTACAGATGGTTTCCTGAAAAAGTGGTGGAAGAACAAGATTTAGTATTAAACATAAGGCACAAGGTTTCAACAGATTATTTGCTTCGAGGTAAGATAGAGAATGGAGTGAATTACATTGTTGGTCCCTCTGTTATGTTCAAAAATACAGACTGGGTCCCTCAAAAGCATTAATTACACCGGTGGTCATTGAGGTTTACGTTACATTACAGATGTCGAATTGGGTCCCTGTCCATGAGGGCAATATAGTCCTTTACCCTTCCTCTTCCTTCTTCATCCCCTTCTTCTTCAACCCAGATGAACATGAACAACCGTAACAAGTTTTTAGGACCTTTTTGAAACGTGTCTTTTTAGCTAGTTATAGGACACTTCTGAGAAGTGTCCTGTAAACCCATCTTTTTATAGGATATTGGTGTTTATAAGACACTTTTTCCAAAAGCGTCCTCTAAAATAGGTAATACGACACTTTAATTTTAAAAGGTCCTAAAAACTTGTTACGACGACCAAAAGGGTCCTATAAACTTCCTTTTAACACTTTTATATAGAGCGCTTTATTTTTTGCTCCTATAAAATAAGTCCTAAAAGGCACTCTGTTAGAACACTTAAAACACTTTAGGCGTCTTATAAAAAAATTGTTGTAGTGTTATGTTTATCCTATTAATTAGCAAGATACGGTCCGACGAAGTTACATGAATCTTGATCCCTCTAACCAACACTTCTCTATGTGTACAACGTGAAAAAGTTATAAATTTGTGAATAACAAGTTGGGTTAGGTTTGGCCCCCTGGGTAAGAAAGCTTGTCTTCCGCCACTGAACATGAACCCAGAAATTGAAAAAAACAACAGATGAACAATCTAACCCAAAAGCTTTAGATTAAGGGGACTTCGCCAAGGAGTGAAAGGATATTAAAGCCCTCTTAGCTATGCTATATCACATCATCACTACGTGCAATCATATTGAAAATCAGGGTTACCATGTCACAGGAAATTGCTATTTGAGTGCAAAAGTTCACACTAAAAACACAATTAGCTATATAACAATCTCGTACAAGCAGAAACATTGACCAAATATATCACAAATATATCGTCAAATAAAGAGGCAACACATATATCTTACTTGTCTAAGTAGTCGTCAATGATCCATCGCAGCTTACTGGGTGATGTATGAAGATGTCCAATTTGAACAATTGCATTGTGAAGTTTAGGGCTGAATGGATATATCTGCAACCCTTGCACAACAAAATTCCAAACGTTTGCTAGTTCTGATTGAGAACGATGCTTCCAGAGCAGGCGCACATAAAAGTTGAATAATAATTCAAGTTGATGAATTTGACTTCTTTTTTCTGCATTTACAGATATATTGTTAGCATGACTAGACAAATTCACCTGCATATGGGCAATGTCAACTTGATAACCCAATCAAGAGGTAAAGATCACCAAATAAAAGTTACAACTGATTTCTTAACTTTAATCATGTAAACTGAAGACCTATTTGCTATTTTCACAAGTTAAATTCCCCATGGATTAATATAGCTTTTGAAATGGTTAATTGAGATGGAATTTCAAACAGTGAAAAGGAAGGTTCTCGAAAAGCATAATTGTATATATGACGAAAGTGTATAGAGCAAAAGACCAACTAACAAACCAAAATATAAAATCGTGTAGGAAACACAAGGATTAAAGAATATAACTTCTATGTGTAGCTTTTACAGAAAATCACATCATTAGTTAGCTTTGTTCAAAAGCTTACACAAATCAGACAACTTTGGGCATGTTAGAGATCACTGGTTTTCTTGACTGACCTTTCTATAAATACTACAAAAGAAGTACATACCTTTGATATTGCAAAACTCTATACCTACCAAAAACCATATATTCATTACAAAATAACAGCAGAAAGAGAATCAAATTACTTATTGTGGGCATCCATTTCTGCAGTACACATCCATGCATACGTACATGCATATATATGTTTACTATTACTATTTAGGGTTTTTTGCTTTCTGCCCCTTGGTACGTAATCTGTTTCTTCTGGCTTTAATTAATGATATAGTCACATCTTTCGAGACCCAAATTATTTCATGGTATCCAGGCTCTTGTCCACAACTTTAGATTATAGGCCCATATCCTACGACTTCAAAATTCTCTAAGGTTGCTTTTTTAGAGATCTCCGTAAAAAATATCAAGACAAATTATACGACACCACTTCTTTAAATGCGTTGTTCCAGTGATACAAATGCTCAAAATATGTTAGAAAGATTACGTCCAGGTTGAGATGAGCGCATCTCGCCCTTTCTCAAGTGGGAAAGATGCTTTGCTAGTAATGCGGTATACACCGAAGAGAGGGTCTTTAACAATACATCAGTTGAGGAAAGGGGCAATATGGTAACTTCATGGGTAGCAAGTTGTAGTTGGGAGGTTAGAGATATTTTAGTTTCTGTTACATCAGTAGCTGTTAGTATAAATAGGAGGTCTAGGTTCTGGGAGGGGATTCTGTTTTGTAAATACCAAATTGAGCGAGAATGCTTAAGGGAGAGATCAGAGGCCTCTAGAAAGCCTGAGGAATTCCGTAAAGCATTCAACGAATACATGTAGCCGACTATTTCGATCTCCATGTAGAGCATAATGGCTAGATCTACTATGCAAGTAGCATACTCGGATCAGGTAGCATCTCTATAATGGCGAACAAAGCATTTTTTAAGTTCCTACTTACCAAAACAACAAGTTCCTAAACATATATAAAAAAAGAATGTTGTTTTGCAGATGAGGCTATAATAGCTGTTGCTTTAGTAGGAAAACGTATTTCAAAGGGCATTGAAGGAATAATGTAGGCAAATCATTAAACATATAAAAGTTGGTCAAATCACCTGGAAGCACTGTGGAAAGAGCCTGATTGAGAACTTCCATACTAGCTTCCCGTCCAGTAGTCAGCTCTTCGAATAAAGCAGCAGAACAAACAGAAGCAACAGAATTATCATCTATAGTCCCACGTATCCACGTTGTCTGTATCATCCTTATTTGTTCTTTGAATCCTTGGCGTGCCCTCAGTAGTTGCAAACTTGATGGTTGACTTTTATATGGACTATACTTTATCCCACATCCCAAGCAAGAAAGAATGTGCAATGCACGTGGTAATGATTCTGAGCTGCCAGAATAACTACTTGCAAGCTCCACTTCCGCATACCAAAGAAATAAAAGTGACGCATTTGATTTAGCATCCTGTTTGGAAAAGAAATTCAATAAATTAGTTACTCATTGGCCGACTACACGCTTCAAGAATTGGCATCCACCAAAAAGCTTTGAAACCACTATCCAAACCGATGTGTTTGATAAATCATCACATAAGGGTGCTTAAGCGGCCGCCCCACCGCTTCGACTAGTTACAGCCACTTAACTGGCCATCTTAAATCTCCTCCACGTCGTCGATTAACAAATAACAATTGAATTTTTTTTCAAAAAACCAACCTGGGATTTCTAACTTTTCTAAAATTGTGTTTGCTAAATAGACGCTTCTCAACTTGTAAGGAACCTTTCCTATCCTTCTCAAGTAATTCTATCAAGGGACAACAGAACCACCTTGTCAGTACTCAGTACTCTACATAAGTACTCACTCTGTCGCATGAAAATTTGACAACTTCCATTTGATGTCTCATATTAATTGCAATATTTCCTTTTCAGGCAAATTTATAAGCTAAAATACCTGCTTCCAAATTACTTCCATTATAAAAGTATTTGTGATTATAAATCTGGTCCACGATGATTACCTTAATAGAAAAGTAAAGAGATGCAACCTCCAACCCCCCCCCCCCACCCCCCAACCAAACCAAAAAACATTTGTCACAACGAAAGGGTACTTTAGACATGTTTTTAATTTTCATATGCTTCCAAACTTATACTAATATGCCTTTAGGGTCTACTATTGTAGTTTTGATGACAATAGGGAGTATATTTGAAGCTACATACACTTAACTACAGATATTGTATGAAACACAAACAGAAGTTATCAAGATAGCGTTCTAAAGATCATCTTACCCAAGGAAGCCCTTCAATAGATAACAATGCCATGTCGAATGCCTTTCTTGCATATTCTACGTTCCCAAATGCAGCCTCCCTTCTCGCATAAACGCCACATAGATGTACATCCTGTCCCAGCAAAGTCAAGTATAGACTGAGTTTACAAGAGAGAGATTTGAATACGAAGTTTCTTGGAATTCGAAAGGAAACACAACTACATTACATATCTAATATCAGAAATATTTAAAAAAAAAACATCTTGCCATGTAAATAATGTCGGTAGTGTTGCCTTGGTATAGAGCTGGACCAGGCCTTATATTTTATCATCTCTTTATAACTTATAACGGGAATTTCCTTTTTACTCAAATCTCAAAATAAATGAAATGATACAGAAGAAGTTTGATTTTAGGTAACACAGTTTCAGTTCAGATTAAAAGAGTTAGGATTGGAAGATTGCAATCTGATTGGGAATTGTATCCTCCATAATTGATTACAAATACTTGGTGAAATAGCTTGCAAGTGTTCAGAAAAAAAGCCCTCTAAAGTTTTCACCAACAAAGTGATTTAAAGTTTTTAACAGCAAAGCATATTTAATCAGAAGTAGAACAGAGTTGTAAAAACAGCCAGCAATATACACCGTCTTGAATCAGGAATTATATGAGGGAGCAGTATTCATGCAAAAACTGATTTAGGCTCGAAATAAAACCAGCATCAGCAACCAAGGTACAAGTTGCTCAAACAGGCATGCAATTCATGAAGCAGCACATTCTGAAAGAACAGGCAGAACAGAAGCAAATCATAGATTTGAGATTGCAATGAAAAGGTTAGGTAATCCGACGGATCTAACCATAATGTTGTAGCTGTCTACATAGTCAACAAAAGATTACAATCTTTGCAAAACATGAACAGATAACTAAATAGAATGATATCACAAAGAAAAAAGAATCCTCAGTTCAGAAAACTGTGTTAAAAAAGCAAAGAGGTTGCAGCAGAAAAGTTGTTTTCCCACTAAAATTAATCAAACAAGAGCGATCACTTTATTCAAAAAGTTTACATTTTACTATTTATTAGTATAACAGTTAAAGATAGCAATATAATATCTCGAAATGAAAATAGGGGAGTCTTTAGTACCACTTTGATATTGAGACCAAATATTGCATACCTGACGGTTGCTTTTTATGAGATTCTTCGCCAATGTCCGACACGGTGTGATTGCAGAGCTACAAGAGTTCATCCTTGTATTTGATAGCTCTTCAGCAACAAGTGCAACTTCTTTTAAAATGTGATCATGTGGAAATGCATTTAAACATTGTAAGGCAACATTTCGAACAAACTTCATCATCTCACTCCTCATATTTATGTTATCGGAACTGCTCAGAATATCTTCTATGATGTTACTGCTCTGACAGCCATCTGTTTTTCTCAACATCTCCTGAACTTTTCTCAAGTCATCCAACATAGAATCTGGCAGTGACTCCATCATAAGTGTTCCCTCAGTGCAACTTGGACTGTTGGTTGAAGACCTACAGAGAATGAACAGTTATTTTCTTTGGTTAGCCACAAGTGATATGCAGACATGGTGCAAAATGGACCTACATTTTTGCATGAGTCCATCAAAACCGACCTCTTCATAAGGGGCAAAGCTATTTGAGTTGCCCACATCCACACTTTATCCTTTTGACTAGAAAATTCCTAAATGTCTCGCTTTTCATTATGATTCAATGTTAGCAATCAACACTTTGTAAGCTTGTAGCAAAATCTAGATTGTCATGTATACCACCAAAATCTGGCCCCTTCCCCTACTTCCACCTACACGAAGAAACTCCTTTCTAACTTTTTTTCTGGTAAGCATCTTTCAATCGACTGGTAACTAAAGAGGGGATGGAATGGGTGGCTGTCAGTTCTAAGGGCACCACCACATTGAAGTTACCTAAGGTCTATTAGAAATTTAAAATTAGAAGCTGTTTTATTCACAACTTCCATTAGGAATTCAAATGCACGTTAATATACATAGTAAAAAGCAGATCCAGAAAACCCGGTTCCATTGAAACCATGAAGCTATTTGAACTTGCAAAGTAAGTGATTCGAAGCACTACAAAGAGAAGAACGCTAAGAGAGAACTGGGAAGTATGAGTTCACTTTACATAACATGGAAAGTTACACAGGTCTTAAGTTCTATTGTAATATTTGATGGGACAAGTAATCACTAGATCTGTATATGCTTCTTCCTCGAGGTTGTCTTCACACGTGTTCTACTTCTATTCCTTCTCTCTCTTCTCTAAGTAGACCATTGATTTTACTTTGCAGTCGACAGTGAGAGAGAACAACCCAGTGCAAATTGATCATATAGCTTAGCTTTTGATAAAACCCAACTTCTTCTACTATGCAGAAAACCAACTAAACATCTGTCTGAAACAAATGCAGTAAACATATATTGAAGGGAGGGTAAAACATAAACAAAGAAAGAAGAAACAGAATTTTGTTAGAAAATTTAATTGGCATTAGTAATAACAAACCCTCAGATGGTGAATAAGTGCAATCAAAACACACACGGAAACAGCTGACTGAAGTAAGAAATTAAGAAACTCACCATTGAGGAATTCTTCCGCCAAAGAAATCAATGAACTGGTACACCAATGATAAACGGACTTCATCTGTAGTTATTGAGAACAAGTACTCACTGACATCCTCAAATAATACTGCTCTCAGAAGTTGTTCATCACCTTCTTTATCTGTGAGTCCATCTGTAAGTGAATTCCCAGATTTTTTCAATCAAAAATCCACCAACTATAATGCTGATAACAGAAAAGGAATGTATAACTTTATTTATGTAAGCGATATGTAACAGCTGCATAGTAACAACTAAAGCTTGTCACAAATCAAATCAGAAAATTGAAAATCCTTCAACTGCTGCAAAAGACCCACCCAACAAACGATATGTCACAAACTAATTAGGATAGGTAAGCAATTTTTGAAGAGTAGGGTTCTTGTAAAGATCGATGTTGCTTTGAAACTTTGCAGAAAAGCCCGCTTTTACCCTGTTTCAATTTAGGCAAGATCTCCAAAGCGGCAGAACTTTTTTGGTCTGTGCCTGTTGAATTGAGGCATGATCTCTAATCCCCCAAATAGTACCACAATGTTAAGATCTTTGCTGTTAATTGCGGTGCTATAGCGGTTAACAGTCCTAGGGGAAATAGCGGTGAGAAATAGCAGTTCCGCTAATAGGGGCGCTAATCACCGCAATTGGGCTGCAACTTTGATTGCAATAGCGGTGTGAAAACCGCAATTACGAGTTGGGCTTCCAGTTGGCCTTTTAAAGGGTTTAGAGAAGTTGGTTAAGGGATTACGAGCTAGGAGGCTGATTTTGATTTGCAATATTGGTGTGTAAACTCGCTATTCCTCTCTCATCTCTTCTATTCCAGTCCACTAATCTGCATCTTCTCTGCAAAACAACATTGTCTTCCAACATCGATTGCTCATCATCTCTTCTATTCGTGTGTTTTTATGTTCATCTTCAAAATATATATTATATTATGTATACATTCATACATTTGTATATAATTGCAATTATTACACGAACCGCTACTTGTGGACCGCTATACCACCTCGCAATAACCGCTATATCGAATCACGGTTCTGACCGCTATCTTAGATTTGACCACTGTAACAGCATAGGTTAAGATCATTTCTTACGACATTAATTTCTCTCCAATCGCCCGTGTTTCCCTATGGGAGAAACATGATATATGGAGTACCCTATATTAACTTGGGGCATTGATCTCTCGCTCATTTTGAACGAATCTTGGCCTCTAGCATCAACTTCCCCCGGGACAACTTTATTCTAAGATAGCAGCTAAGAAAGCACAACTATCATTAAGAATTGAAGTAGACAAAAGAATAGAAAGGCACCAGATTCTGGGCGAACGGGCATCCATTGATCAGAGTCTCTTGATAACTCTTCTTCTGACCATCTAACCCAAGTTGAAACGTCCTGGACCTCACCATTAGCTTCAGTATCAGCATTGATACCGAGCAACTTCATCAGAGCCTCAGTATCATCTTTCTGTTCCATATCATCTGTGTTAGGTTCATCATCAGAACCTTCGATACCCACATCATCGACAGATACATTGTCTTGACGTTCAGCAGCACCTGCACTTTTAGGTTCATGCCACCCTGTCCAGCCCCCTTCATCTGCAGTAGTGGAAGACTCCTTCATCATCACCTTTTGACGTTGTTCTTCCTCTTTTTCCAGCCAAGTTGACCAGCCAAGAGCTCCATACTCTCCAATTCTTGCACCATTACTATTCCAGAAGTACTCAAATAGTCTGTGTTTACCCTGCTCAGAAAGAAGTAAAGATGGGCAGAACAAACTGTATTCTATCTCCGCCTGAAATAAAGCTGTACCCAATTCTTGATAGCCAGCCTGCCACTCGAACCGGCATAAACTGACAAATATATTAACCAATCCAAGTTCTTGTTGGACCAGAAGAGGGTCAGCAGAGGATTTAACATTCTGGAGAACCTGCATCAATACATGCCAAGAATCAGACCAAAAAATTAAGAATTAGCAGCATCCAAGAAACAACAAACCGCACCAGATTTTCCATCTTTCAGATGCTCAAGAGTGAAGAGAATAGCAATTAGAAGTAACGGGAAGAAAAGATATGCCTAGATTTAGATGAAAGAAAGTCCACATCCAAGGCCCCAAGTTTTTTAGCCAGTTCACTCCATGCCGTTGTTCGTTCATTTTATTTGTAGTAAAAATACTTAAGTTCCAACTTCATTTATCCGGTAACATACGAGTTTCGGGGAAATGGGGACTTCAGTTTTAATTCATTAAATTTGGTTGACGTGTGTCCTTTGTTTCAAGGAGCCCAAGTTCTCCGAGGATGAGATTAGTTCATCGAATCTAGCTTTTCTTTATCCTGCACAGCGATGATGCAACCTTTTCAACTATAAGCACTCAAAACTATCTTGACCGGTACAGATTGCTGCTGAATCTATCAACTAGGTTAGCAATGATTATTCATCTCAAACTACTTCTCATCCAGAATAGTTCTTCAAACCTTCCAAAGCACAAGAGCTCCTTTCCAGTGGGATAAACATATTATTTGAGGTAAGAAGTATCACCTAAAAATTGAACGTTTAACATGGGATGTTTGTGCAGAGCATATTAGGGAGAAAGAGAGACGAAATGAGGGGTGTTTCTCAATGCCAAAGTTTTGCTTCTTGTATTTATAGAAGATGCAATACACTATTTTATCAGTAAAAGCAAGATTGTCATCAAATTCATGAACATTTGTGGTTTCCCTGAACTGAACAAGATCACTGAACTAGACAAACATTATCAGTTTCTAAAATGGCCACAAAACATTCTGGATTTGAAAAACATTCCATTAAAACAGATCATTTATTTCTATTATGAAATGGTGTATTGTGTAGTAAGGATTAAATCAACCGGGTATTCAACCTTCTTGCTAAAAAATTCAAGCATGGCATTGGAGGATTATTACTGACTAACTGATTTAACTAGAAAAATGTATACTCCATCGAACTAGTTCTAGGTTTGAATTCCAGGCAACCAGTTGTCGTAGTAATACCGTATTATATGTATACAGAAATACTTTTCTTTTTTGCATACTACTTTTGGTTTCCAAAAAATTGAAATAGATCCAGATACGACTTTAAGAAAATTGATAATCAAGCATTGCACTTCCAATATTTTATGAAACAGCCCCTTCATAGGTATGTACTTAATGCCAAGTTGAACTATTAAGACCCAATCAGATAACGAAACAAACAATCATCATTGAGAGATATATAAATGAGTTGATGCCGCAAAACCATTCACCTTGTTATGACCAAAAAGAAACAATCGATTGGTATTACCATCTTATGATTGGGTACCTGATTAGGCATGCATGTACATTCATGCGTGGTTTCAAGAATACGCCACAAATGTTCCCTTAAGGTATGAATTACAGGATCTACTTTGTTTCTTTAAACAACGAAAGCTTGGGGAATTGTTAAATCTTCCTCCCAAATTCCACTATAATAGTAAAGACCAAACTGCAATTTTATTGAGAAAACCAAAACAATGTATGTCAGCAGACCACAACACTAGACCTGTTTTCAAACCACCGCAGCCATCCATCCTAAACCAATAGGCTTCTATTTTGTTAAACCCTTCCCCTACAGAAATGGCAGAACTATTTATCTTAAAATAACAAGAAAGATGAAAAGAGTTGTTCATTTTTTAGCACCAAGGAGTTATTAAAGATGATCAATTGTGCTTGAAGTTTCCTCAACAAAACAAGCAAGAAGTTTTTCACAACTTCAATTTCATGAAGAAGCTATTGCATAAACATCTAAAAATGTGCACCTGCCTATGCTGCTTGCTGCATTCAGCTGACAAAGCCTGTATCGCATTGGCAAACATCTTCCTTACTTCGGAAACCTTGAATCTGGAAAAATCCCCCTCGACAAGATGCAGAAACTCCCTCCACAGCTTGTAACTCCCTGAATGATGCGTAAGTAGCTTCTCCCATCTACCAATCAAGACCTCATTATTGTCTCTTCTTTGATATGCATTCATAAGAGCTAGAAGCAATTCCTCATTATTGGGATTGAGCTCCGCTGCCTTCTCCAATATGCTGATCTTCTTCTCCAGTGTTTGTAAACGAGCACCTCTTTGTGGCTGCCTGCTTTCAACCTTATCTTGGAAGTTGGCAAATTCTAACCAAATCTTTTCATTATATGGCTGCTCCCTAGTCATTTTATTGAACTCCTTTGTCTTACGTAACACCTCATCTTCCCATGATTCCTCAACTACTGATGAATCTCTTTGTTGACCATCAGAAGAAGTTGGCTCATCTGGCAATGGTATGAAATCAGCACCAATTTCTGAGGCTGATTCTTTAGGAGCAACAATTCTAAACCGCTTAAAGTTCTTATGGTGCTCCAATGCAGCATACTTAGCAGACCAGTAACGACCTTCGGACCTAAGTTTGCTTTCTAATGCATTTACATCGGTATCCCTATCAAACTCCAAATTCCTCATATTCTGACATCGGTATGCATCGTAGTTAAACCCAGAAGACTTGCTTCCGTCAAATAATTTGTAACGCGCAACATCCATTCTGCATTGTAGTAACAGAACAATCATTTCAAAATCAAATACAGCAATACAAATCATACAAGCAATCTCATTCTAGGGTTAGGAGGAATACATTGCAATAAACTGTACTGGGCAATTCGATTTTTGAATGGTATAATTCTTTAATGATTAGTCATCACCAAAACCCCTCCAATTAAAAAACTCTTAGTCTTTTACAATATATCAATTTCAATTTCTAAAAGTACTAGTTTTACCCCAAATGTGAAAGTTAGTTTTTACCCCAAATGTGAAAGTGCAGCTCATTTTATCTTTCTGTTAAACGATTTCCATACACAAGAACATAAAATGGGTGTTTGGGCGTGTGTCTAAGGTAAAGTCGCAATAAGCAGTTGAGTATTTAGGTAGAAGTGAATATGATTATCTGATTATTTAGCGTCAAATAATCAGATTTAGAGACACAGTTAGAAGTTTCTGCAAGAAAAAATGATATTGATGATCAAGTAAAATTACCTTCTTATATCCAGCTTCATCCGGCTATATCTTATTCCAAGTTGCAATAACCACAAACCATTTTCAAGAGTTCATCCCAAAATTACAGAAAAGGGTTCAAACAGATAGCAAGAATTTATAGAACAGTATGAATTTTGATTTTCAAGGATCTATAGCACCCAGTAAAGAGCTAAATACTATCTCAACTCATAACCATTATCACTCCCAAATAGAACAAAATGATGAGTTTGATAGTAAGATGGGTGGTTGCCACATATTTATCTAATTACAGAACCCTGAAACTTTGAGAATGAATTAGTAGTTTCACCTGTAAAGAGAACCAAAAGCCAAATTATCACGATCACCGCGAGAATCGAAGTAATATTCTTTATTTGCAGATGAATTGGACGCATTATTTGCCCAAGATTGAATGTTCTGCTTCCTAGATGAAGGTCCATATTCGTGATCACTGTGCGCTCCCTTCTTCCTCTTTCTACGTTTCCGTTTCTCCTTCTTGTTGCTACTCCGGCTACTCTCGTCAAGGTCCTGATCCGATACTGATGAGTCCACCAACTCGTAACCAGCCCCCGGCCGCCTTTCTTCTTGTTTTGCTGCTGCTTCTTGTTCTTCTTCTTCTTCGGGTTCACTACAATGGTCGTGGCGAGAGGATACGACGGTGTTGATGGTTGAGAGGTCGGCGGTGAAGCTGGTGTTGCTGAGCCAATCAGGTGCATCGGATTTGGAGAGTTGAAGAAGATTTATTGGGTCGGACGGTGTTGAGGGTTTTTGGTTGAAGACAGGAAACAATGTTGTCGTTGGTTGGAGCGGCTCTTCTCCTACCGGCGATTCATCCGCCATTGTTGTTCCTGATTTCTTGTCTTTCGAGGTTTTCTATTGTAATTAAATGTGCTCATGCCCTAACTCGATGTATCCGTGCCCTCCATTCATCTCTGTCCAAAATAAAGCATAAACCCACATTACCAAACACATACACACACAAATAGACATCAGTCAGCACACACATGAAAGTGCTTCTATACGATATTCCGACTGAATAGAAGAACTGTAGCGTAAATGCAGTTCGATAATTGAGTAGGAAATTGGCCATAAAATAACAGAGCAGATACAAATCATAAAAGAGAACATACCGATTGCGAAGACGATCGAATTGAATAGCACAATTTCAACGGCTACAAACCACGAACAGATTAGAATCCAACCAGAAATTGTCTGCAGCGCTGAGGTTTTGCAATTTACAGAGAAAGAGGAAAAACAATTTCAATTTTGGCAATTACCAGAAGAATATGATGAGAATGTATAATGTCTGGAATACCCCCTATACTTTGAAAAATGAACAATTCAGTCCTCCATTGTATGGGGTTCATCATCAAGGGGTATTTGGAGGTCGGTTGGTAAAGTTAAGGCTTTAAACGAAGTAAGGTGTGACGTGTTGGTAAAGTTAAGCTTTAAGTCTAACGAGTTATAGGTTTCGACATTTTTTAAAACGTGCCCTAAGACGACATATGTATAAATATATGTATGTTTATATATGTACTAGAAGGGTACTCGCACAATGTCGCGAAATACATCTTGATATTAATATTTCATTTTATTTTTTATCTCAGTCAATGTTGTAGTATGGTGTTATGTGATTTTGAAAAAACGATGATGTTTTTATTTTTAAATAAAATATAAATTTGAAGATATCATAAAATTTTGACAAAAATATATCGATACTAGTATCAAATTAACTATTTAAAGTTCATATTTTTTGTGTAATTTTTTAATTCAATTTTTTTATTGTAATTTAATTTAGGTTCAATAACGAAATAATTTATATTTTGATTGATAATACTATAAGAGTACTCGTGCAATGCAGTAAGAAACATCTCGATTTTAATGTTCTATTTTATTGTTTGTCTATGTCGATATTATGATATGGTTTTATGTGTTTTTAAGAAAGCAATAATGATTTTATTTTTGAATAAAATACAAATTTGAAGATATCATAAAAATTTGGAAAAAAAATATATCAATGTTAATATCAAATCAACTATTTAAAAGTTCTCATTTTTTATGTAATTTCTTTGACTTATTTTTTTATTATAATTTAATTTAAGTTTAATAACGAAATAATTTATTTTTTATTTAATGATATAATATTTTATAAAGATGATAATTAAGTATTCTGTTAAAACTCAATGATTATCCTGATTATATTTTAGATTTTTTATATTTAAAATGAGATGTTTATCTTGTACTTGATTATGTTTATCTGCAGTTAGTTACACGAATTCATATATGAAGCTAGGGATGGTGATTTGGCCCGACCCGGTGAGGAACCCGGTTCACCCGACCCGGACGGGGACGGGGAATCCCCGCTAAAACGGGTACTGGAGCCGGGGCCTTGGATCCCCGGTAGAGGCAAACCGGGGTTGGGGCCGGCCGGGTATTGTATCCCCCGACCCGCCCCGTACCCGGTATATTAATAAATAATAAAATAGTTATTTGGGCTTTAGGTAAATGGACTGTTACTACTTATTTGTGTTTGGGACTTTTGTGTTTGGGCCTTTTGGATTTGGGCTTTGGGTGTTGACCGGGTGTTGACCGGGGGTTGACCGGGGTTGACCGAAAGTTGACCGGGGCCGGGGCCGGGGACTCTATATATAAACCGGGGCCGGGGATTGCAAACCCCGCCCTATCCCCGCCCCGTTGCCATCCCTATATGAAGCTTTAATAAGTTGTACTTACATACAATCTACTTGCAATCTTGAGTTTTAAGTAATATGCATTAATAAACAGTATTTTACGCATAAAATTTTGTTTTTAAGAGTTTTTGTCAAATCCTTTATAATATAGTAAAGATAATTTTCTTATAAAGATAATAATTTATTATTTTATTAGAACTCGATAATTATCCTAATTATATTTTAGATTTTTTATATTTCAAAATGAGATGTTTATCCTCTATTTGATTATGTTTATCCGCAGTTACTTACACGAATATAAACATGAAGCTTTAATAAGTTGTACTTATACATAATTTACTTGTAATCTTGAATGTTAAGTAATATGCAGTACTCCATGCGTAAAAAATGGTTTTTAAGAGTTTTTGTCAAATGTTTTATAATATAGTATAGATAAATAAAAATTCTCTTATAGTCACGGAAGTTCAAATTCGATGACTCTAAAAAGCACTTATCAACTTATTATAAGTCAGAAGAGTTTAACTTCTTCAAAAACTTCTTATTACCGGTTTGGCACCGGTATAAGTTATTTATCCAAACATTCAAAAATGTTTATTACCGGTGTCACACCGAAAGAAGTCAATAAGTTGTTTTTATAAGCAATTATAAACACCTCAAAATTTTATGTAAAGCAAATGATTGTACTGAAATTAGACGACCAAATGTTAAAGAAAAAATATCTATACTATCTTATAAAACATTTGGCTAAAACTCTTAAAACTCTTAAAAACTCTTAAAACTCTTAAAACTCTTAAACCCGTTCATCCCTAAACGATTTCATCCCTATCCGATTTCATCCCATATCTGAATTCGTGTAACTAACTGCAGATAAACACAATCAAATACAGGATAAACATATCATTTTAAATATAAAAAAACTAAAATATAATTATTATAATCATTAAATTCTAACATAATACTTAATTATTATCTTCATAAAATTTATAATATTAAACCAAAAATAAATTGTTTTATTATTAAACTTAAATTAAAGTATATATAAAAAATATATTCTATATTATAAATCATTTGATAAAAACTCTTAAAAACCATTTTTTATGCGTAAAGTACTGTTTATTAATACATATTACTTAAAACTCAAGATTACAAGTAAATTTTGCGTAGGTACAACTTACTAAAGCTCCATATCTGAATTTGTGTAACTAAATGCAGATAAACACAATCAAATACAGGATAAACATCTCATTTTAAATATA